AGCCGGCTGGAGCTCCCACTCCACCATGTCCTAGCCGGAGACACCTGGCTTGTTATGTGACACGCAAGGCAGAGAGCCGGCTGGAGCTCCCACTCTACCACGTCCTAGCTGGAGACACCTGGCTTGTTATGTGACACGGCAGGCACAGAGCAGGATGGACACAGAGCTCAGTCTTTCCCTAGTGACAATGTCAGAGCCCCGCTCCCTTCTCATGGGAACTATCCACTCTCCCGAGGCCTAAACATGAGCTTAGTATGACCCATGCTCCCTGGCCAGGGTGACCGATTTCAGCCAGGCCCCTGACCTAAACTGAGGGCAGGCACCACAGTATTTCACTGCTAGACAAAGGGGCAGGCACAGGACTCCAGCCGGGACAGGTCACGAGTCACCCCAGTACTTTTCTCACTGGAGCTGGGAGGGGGCAGCTTTCTCTTCCTGTCACAAAGCTGTGAGCATTGAGGCCTGGAGCCGGCATGACCTTCCACCAGCAAGTTTGAGAGAAGGAAGCCAGCATGCAGAGAAGCCCCCAAATGAGATGCAGAGAGACACCAGACAGTCCTGGAGTCCCCAGTTCTAGTCCTGCCTCCCTGCTGCAAACACATTGGCAATTAAATACTTGGAGGGGAGAAAAGGAATTTGGATTTCAGTCACTTTCCACTAGGTGAGGTCCTAAATTCATCTCTTCGCCTCATTTGCCAAATGGGGAAAATAAAACAACCCTTTTGTCCCGGCAGTTCCGACGGGGAAACGTGATATGCACTAGAAGATTTTTGGCACCGTGTCTCTGTGATGTCAGTGGACGGGTAATAACACCACCTGTAATAGCACTCGCCTGCCGACAGACAGGAGTCCTGCAGACACCTCTCTCTCTGTCACATCTGATGTGACAACAACAAATATTGCAGGTTGTAACTTCACACTCCATCTGGAATTCAACTGCTTCTCCCAATTTCCACTGGCGCCACCTGGGTCCCAGCCAGGCCTTGTATTTGTCGCCTCTGGCCCCACTGTGTGGTCTGTTCTTCACGCAGCAGCAGTGTGACCCCAGGAAAGCGCAGGACAGAGAGATGAGGAAGCTGCAGTGTCAGCGGGCCCTGACCTGGCCAGCGGTCTGGGCGTCTCCCGCCCCCTGCTGCCCTCCAGGCCACCAGGCTCCCACCTCAGGGCCCTGCCCTTGCTCCCTCTGTCCAGGACACGCCTTTCCCAAGCCGCACCCCCCCCCCATCTCCAAGGCCAGCCTTTCTGCGAGGCAGCCCCTGGATGCCCTGTTTAAAACCTCAGCCCCCTCCCAGCCTGCCCCTGGTTTTCTCATGGCATTAACGCCATCTGACCTGCTATCTCTGCTTCCCTGCTTGTTCACTGTCTGGCTTTCTAGAATGTAAGAGCAGGGGTCATGACTACTTTGCTTACTGCTGTTGCCAACACTTAGCAGTCTCACAACAAGTATCTGCTGAATGGCTGAATGAATGAATGAGTGAATGAATGAACACGCCCTTTTTCTGCTGTTCTGGAGGTTGGCGAAAAGCATGGACTATAGCAGAAATAAACGTGGAAATCTTATCACGAAATCTTCTGCACTTACTTGGCACAGCGCACCCAGTGTGTGTGTCGGTACAGGGAGTATAAGAAACGCTGGCGATACATGCTCCACACTTTGATAGATTTGTCTTCAGAAGCTGTCGCTAAATACTGGCCATCGGTTGAGAAGTCCACGCTTCGAACTGGAGCTGTATGAGCTTTAATTTCTGAGGATTTCCCTTTCCTGGAAATGAACAGTTAAATATATATAACTCATTTGATTTCATTATAATCAACATTGTATCCCTCTACCAATTTTAAAGGTGGTAAAATGGTTTAACTCCTGTCAAACCTAGCAAAATTGTGAAAAGGCTGTGTCGTACTGTACTCTTGGTCAACACTGTTTCATACTAGTTTTGTTCACCAAAGTCATAATTGATACTTAAAAAGACAGATCTTGAAAGGCTTATGCTGCTTTGTTTCAATGGGAAGCTAAGAAAAAGAGTATTTTGAACAAATTTCTACCACGCATTTTAAGTTTCTAGGGTTCCCCTAGAAATGGCAGTATATAGTTTAAAGAAGTTATAACCTTTAAAAAAAAAAAAAAGCCAAGGTTGATTAAGTTGATGCCACGAGGCTATTTTCAGACTGATAGTCTGGACTGGGAAAGAGAAGTCCTTTACCATTTGCTATCCAGACTGTCGCTAAGTGATCTGACTCCCCAGGACCTCCTCGCTTCCCCCCAGTAAGGAGATCTAAGTCCCCTGGGTGTATTGAGGGCCTCCCTTACCCTGTGGGCCTGATCTCATGCTCACCAACAAAACACAAGGAATAAATGATAATAACATGTCATTTTTCAACATCCTGAAATTGCAGGTGCATTGTTTTTCCCTTGGCTAGATGGTCAAAAAGAGGATAAAGAGAGACACAGAAAATAATGTGAGGCATTTGAGAAGAAGTAGATCTTAAAATAGTTAGAAGCAGGCTAGACGGGGTTTGATTAAAGGCATAGTCGCCCATTCATTCATTCATTCACACACTCACTCACTCAGCAGATGCTTGTTGGGTGACTGCTGAGGGCTGGAACAACAGGAAGCAGAACAGTCAGGACCGGTGGTTCTCAACCTTCCTAATGCTGCCATGTATTTTAACATTATTACAAAGGGGTCAAGACCCACAGGTTGAGAACCGCTGGTCAAGACCCTTCTCTTACGTTCTAGAGAGTCAGACAAATAAACAAATAGGAAGTCAGATGGTGTCAGCACTAAGCAGAAAAAGAGTGGAGGGGAAAGGGGCTGAAGTTCTACACAGGCATCCAGGGGCCGCCTCACAGAAAGGTGCAAAGACGGAAAGGGGGGAGGGAGGGAGGCGTGAAGAGGTTGGGAAAGGAGCATGCTGGGTAGAGGAAGCAAGGGCAGAGCCCTGTGGGGGGAACCTGGTGACGGTGAGGGGACGAGAGGAGGCAGCAGGGGGACTGCTCAGAAGCCCAGAGAGGGGCAGGCCAGGTCAGGGCAGCTGGGGACACTGGCACAAACGGCGTTTCCCACGGTGACACACCTGACACTGCATAGAGCACTTAGCAATTTTCCCATTGAGAAAGTCACATTTACGCTACTGACATCTCGTAACTGCTTGAAAAAGATCAGGACGCAGAATTTAGTTCAACCTAATGTTGTTGCATTTTCGGATGTTCACGCTGACCTCCCACGCACCTGCAGCTCAGCCCATGTTCTGCTACCGTGGTGGGTCAGAGCAACATCCGCTCCAGCCAGAAGTCTGGAATTCACCTCAACCCGTCCCTCTCCTCCCACATCCAGCAAGTCAGCAAACCACATCATCCTCACTTCCTCAGTACATTGGAATCCTCCTCTTCTTTCTACCTCTGCTCCGCTTGCCTTAAGCTAGATGTATCCTCGACATCCTTCACCTAGGTTACTGCAAAAGCCTCTTAAGCGGTCTCCCTGCTCTAATCTTTTATCCCTTTCCAGTCACCTACATACTGTGCTTATTACCTTGCCAGAGTACAGCTCCAAGCACATAAACCCCAGGGGACACGTCACTGGCTTTCTGCCAACAGAAAGCATGCCACCCAGGTGCTCTGGCGAGACATCCTGCCACAGTTCTGCACTTTGTACCCGGAACAGTCATGGGGCTTAAGACACACCTCTGCCTTGCACTTAACTGCTTTTCTCCGGCTGAACTATTTCTCCCATCCTCAGGCCCCTTTGACCAAGCCGGACAGGCTTATTTCCTTGCTATGTGCTACTGCTGTTTTGCTTACTACATTACACAGGTGACTTTTGAAAAGCAAACCTATTTTTTTATTAAGCTCTAAGGTTTTGAAGACAGAAATGATGCTTTCATCTCTTTAAGATCAGAATCTAGCACAAGGCCAGGCACGTAGAAAGAGCTCGACACGTTTTGTTGACTTCCACTAAGAGTCAATACTTAAAGTTCTTAGATCAAACCTGGCTCACCCTTCCTGTGGCTTCTGGAAGGCAATGGTGACCTTATTATCAATCTCTATCACCTCATATACTATTATGTCAGAGATAACTGAAATCAATATTAAAAGTTAGGAGGGAGCAGCCAGGGACTAGTTCTGTGAAGTCTCTAAGAGATTTCCCTGAGTAGAAATTGGGAAGATGATGGGGCCTGAATTCAAGTATGAGGGTTGAAGAAAACCAAAAAAAAAAAGACTTGACATCTGCAAGGACCAGGAAGCTGAGTGACAGCCAGGAGCACCAGTGGCTGGCTCTGTAATGTGGTTCCCACTCTGCACTCCCGCAGGCTCTCCGCCTTGCCTTCTTGCCTTCTTGCCTTCTTTCTGAAAGGCCCCGCTCTCAGCAGGAGGCTGGCCTGACCACAGATCCTGTCTGAGCAGGAAGCACTGAAACCACCCAGATAGAAGTGCCTTTGTTGTATGGCGGCTTATCTGGGTCTAGTTCCTCATCTTGCTCAGTATGGGCTTTCTGCCTCCCACGTATGTAATTACCAGTCCGTTCAGCCGAGTCCTCTTGCCTGCATGCTGTGGTGACCCCAGGCAGGCCTGCTTTCATGCTGCTTCTGGCTAGTCTTTCTTAGCGTCCCAGCCACCAGCTGTGGTGTCCACCTGCACATGTGGCTGCTGGTGCACCTGCCAGCCCTTCCATGCACACTGCTCCTGGAGGTGCACTCTGTTTATTTTCTCCCCACCTTTGAATCTGGGCTGGTGTTATGACATTATTTTGACCAACAGGATGTGGAATAGGGGACGTGGCAAGTTTCAGACCCAGCCCTTAAAAGGTCTTACTGCTTCTGCTTACATTCTCCCGGAACCCAGTTTTCACTCTGTGAGAAAGTCCAGGTTATCCTGCTGGAAAGAGCACTGGGAGAACTAAGCTGCCCAGCCTATAGCCCCACCACAGCCTCTGACACCAGCCCCATCTAGCCCAGCTCTGGCTTAAGGAAATTGCATGAGTAATCTCACCCAACACCAACAGGGCGGAAGAACCATCCAGATGACCCACAAAATTCTGAGAAATGGCACTTTTTGCACGAAGGTACTGAGTTTTGGGGATTGTTAGGTGGCAGCAGATAACTGATCCATCAGCTTCCTTCTCATTGACATAATCTACCATTACTCTGGTCCCACTCTGACATGATTAGAAAGAGAAACCAGAGCCGTCTACACAAGCTAATCACTGTACTTAGATTAGCTACGAAAAATTAATGACATAGCATGCTTTTGTTTCATCTACTTTTACACACTCTATTCACCAAGATGTCCTTGAATCAGTAATGGGAGCCTGAGGTTATGCTCTGAAGACAGCAAAATACTGATTTTAAATTCTCAAAGTTAAGGATTTGGAACACAGTTCTCTTGGACCCTAAACCAGTCTCATCCCTACATTGTTCACTGCCATCACGTTATCATTATGTCACTTTAGCAGTCTTTTCCTGCCATCAGGATAATATTTGGGTTTCTCAGCATGGAGTTTCCCCGGGGCAGTGGCAAAAAAAAGCACCCACTAGCAGGAGAATGACCTGTGAGTTTTCTTTCATTTGGGAGTGACTGGGCCTGTTCAGTCATATGCAATAAATCAAATCCTGCTACTACAGGCTCAAAGAAATGCTCAAAGGCTAAAACTCTGAATATTTATGGGGGTTGAGGGGGAAATGAAACTGACGTGTGAGATTTCTTCTAAAATAAAAGACGTGGGGGGTGAAATTGATAAAACAGGATTGGCAGAACAAGAATAACTCTGGGAGCTGGTTGATGGGTATATGGGGCAGTCCTGCTATTCATGCTATTCTCATGTATGTCTGCAAAGACACAGGCTCCAGAGCTTCAAAGCTTTAAAAAAAAATCATGGCAATAATTATTTAAAATAGATAGGCTAACAGCTAGGGCCTGAAAAGTCTCTTACAGAGAGATTTGTTATAACAAGTTATAACCTTACACAAATGCAATGATTTACACGTCTGTCAGAAATTTTCTTTAATAAGAAAATTCTGGAATTTTCAATATTGAGTGGTAAAAAACGAAGAACAGTTTTGGTAAAGATCCAAGGGCCCCTAAAGGATCTATAAGTGGGTGTCAGGAGGTTAATAAATTGTACATTTTTGGCTTTACATGTCTAACTTTCCAGGGAGGAATCTAAAGCATACACCAGATTTAGGAATAAATTGATAACTATCCTCCCAATAAACTTAAGACATATTAAGCATATTTCTGTGGCTAGAAATAGTTTTGTTTTGTGTTTTTTTTAAAGAGACGTAATTTGTGGGCAGCGCCTGTGGCTCAGTGAGTAAGGGTGCCGGCCCCATATACCAAGTGTGGCGGGTTCGAACCAGGCCCTGGCCAAACTGCAACAAAAAATAGCCAGGCATTGTGCAGGTGCCTGTAGTCCCAGCTACTTGGGAGGCTGAAGCAAGAGAATCACCTAAGCCCAAAAGCTGGAGGTGGCTGTGAGCTGTGACGCCACCACAGCACTCTACTGAGGGCAACAAAGTGAGACTCTGTCTCTAACAAAAAAATTAAATAAATTTAAAAAAGAGACATAATTTGTGACTAAGGCTCATCGAGTGTGGGTAGGTAACTGAGGAGGTTAGGCATTCCCAGGAAATGCATGAGGAGCAGCCGGGCTCCAGCTTCAGTTCACATTTCTAGATGCAAAGCATACCAAGGGTTTGTTTCTCTTACTTATCAGGAATCCAGAGTCTAACGGTTCTGTCTCGTGAGGCAGATGCCAATAAGTTTCCGTGTGGAGAAAACTGCACGCTGGTTACAACATCCTTGTGACCCATATATCTGTAAGCTCTAGCTTGTGGCTTGAAATTCCATAGCATGAGAAACGTGTCCCAAGAAGCAGTAGCTAGCAAGAAATAGAAGAACAAAACCACAGTTTGTTAAAATGTAAACACATGATCGTCTCATTACAATGGGCAACTATCTAATAACCAGGCATCCAGTTAACAGACAGGCTGGGAAGTTGTAAGGCTGATGGGTACAATCAAAAAGATTTTGCAAAGCTACTCAAAACAACATCACTAATGTGCAAGGTTGGCTATGTCCTATGTAACCACACTGGATTACAGCATTACTAGCCCTTGTATTCAATCAGTGCTCAGTTAACTATTTACCAGAAGGCAATCCAGGGTAACGGAGGACTTAGTTCTGTCTCTAGCTCTCAGGATGACTGGGAAAGTTACTGAGCTTCTGTGTTATGGATGAGATAACCTTTAAACTGTTTGAGTGGAAATAATTTCAAGCTTCCAGAAAAGCTACAGGAATACTATAAATAATACTAATCTACCCTTTACCCAAACCTGCCTGTTGTCAACATTTTGCTCTATTTGGTTAGTAATTTGCCCTGCAGTCCACTTTCTCTGTGTATGAACACACATGTGCACAGGCACAAACACACACACACACACACACACCTGTTTCCTGAACCATTTCGAAATCAGCTATATAAGTCGTGGTACCCTTATTCCTAAATATTTCAGTGTGTTTGTCTAAGAATAAGGCTATTCTCACCATAGTGGAGATGCCGACTGCAGGAAACGTACCATAGATGCAAAATTTTACTAACTGTACTCTAATTTTACCAGTTGATCTAGTAATACTTTTATGACTGCTTAAGTATCTTAATCTTTCTGCTCTGTAATTTTATAGCATTTGCTGACTACTAAAAGAATAATGTGTGTCAGACATTAGTTTAAGGCTTTAAGAAGGAAAACAATTGCAATCGATGGTGGAAATAAATGCTTGGAAGAAGAAGGGACAAACAAGCAAGTGAAAGAGATTTTTAACGCCTGCCTAAAAAACAACTTTTATTGTACGGATGTAGCTCCAGAAATAGCTCCCATAACAGAAACTGGGTCAATGAGAACCAGCACGTCTAGACTGCAGAATGCTTAGGGAAAAAAAAATGCAACTTTATAAACTTGAAATACAATTAGTTTCACTGTTAGAGGAGAAATAGGGCCTGATCATAAAAAAAAAAAAAAAAAAAAAATCACTGAAATCTTCTAAGTTCTTTCGCCCACATGTAAAATTCATTTGGACTTAGCTTTTCCAGTATTTCCACATAAAACTGTTAAGGTGAGTTCATAAATTTTGAGCTGAAATGCTGCTTATTACCTCCCTTTTAAAAAAGTATAAAAAGCTGATGTTCTGGCTGGGTGCAGTGGCTCACGCTTGTAATCCCAGGACTCTGAGAGGCTAAGGCAGGTGGATCGCTTGAGCTCAGGAGTTCAAGACCAGCCTGAGCAAGAACAAGACCTTATCTCTACTAAAGAAATAAGAAAAACTAGGCAGGCATTGTGGTGGGTGCCTATAGCTACCTAGAATCCTGAGGCAAAAGTAGCTCTTGGGCTTAAGAGTTTGAGGTTGCTGTGAGCTACTAGGATGCCATGGCATTCTACCCAGGACAACAGAGTGAGACTGTTCCCCCCCCCCCAGAAAAAAAGCTGATGTTCTACCAATTTGTCCACATTATTAAATACTTATATTAAAGTCTGAATTACTTTAGGCAAATGCAGACAAAAATAGGGCAGATGATGAACTACCATACGCATTATACTTAGGACCTTATTTGAGTTCTATGCATTATGCTGCAGACAGAATATGCAAAAGCCAGTAAGATGCCTCCGTTGTTCCTTCAGTGAATCACAGGATAGGAGGGAAGACATCATTAATAATATCACACACGACAGAGGACTGTCAGATGTTATTACCTCTTTAATCTTAGATGGAGTGATTAGGTGATCATTGTGAGGAAAGGACATTTGAACAGAGAGCTGAGTGAAATGGGGAGTGATCCGGGCTAAGACCACAGAGAACGGAGACTCTGGGCAGAAGAAACCCCAGGTGCCTGAGACAGTATTGTCTCCCACGGGGGGGGGGGGGGGGTGGGGGTGAGGGTGCGTAAGACGACAATGCTCCTGGAAAACTGAGAAGTGGCAGGAAGGGCAACGTTTCCACAGGAAACCAGAGAGAAAGAAACCAGTGGAGGAAAGCCAAGGAGGGAGAGGGGCCACGGCGAATCGCATATTTTTTATTTAAATGCAAAGGGAAATTTTGTAGGATTTTGAGCAGGAGGAGCTCATGATCTGGTTGGAGGAAACGGTTACTCTGACAATGAGGAAGGAATAATCTTTTCAAAAAATTGTGTCGGGTCAACACACTATTCATAAGGAAAAAAATGGATCTTGATTCCTCTTCTTTACACTGTATACAAAAGTTCATTCCACGTGGGAATGTCGATCTAAAGGTGGTAAGTGAAACAATAAACTCTTGGAAGACAAGATCATCATCATGACCTTGGAGTAGGCAAAAGGAGCATGAACATGACGGTCAAGGAAGTAAAAGTAAAAGGAAGATCATTTGTACGACGCTAGAATGAAGAGATGTTGTGCATTGAGAGATACCACTAAAAAGCAAGCCGGGTGGCGGAGAAGGTAACTCATAATACAGATAGATATTCAGCACAGAATGAAGCTGACATGTGCACAGTCTATAAAGAATCCTACCAATCAGAAAAGTGGAATGTTAGCTAATAGGAAAACAGGCAAAGGCTTATTAAACAGACATTTTATAGAAGAGGATATCCGATGGCCAATAAACATCCAAAAAGATGCTCCAGTCCCTGAGTCACCAGGAAATGCAGACTGAATCACCAGGAGGTATCCCTACGCCGGGATCAGAAAGATTATGATGAAAAAGACAAATCCAGGAGAGGATATGGAAGGGAACTCTCATATCATACCAGTGGCTATAATCACTTTGAAAATCTGTGGTGAAATATCTATTGAACCTGAATATACACTTATTATTGAACTAGGCAATCCTATTCTTAGGTATATACCTAAGAGAAGTTCTATTTTTTGAGACAGGGTCTCACTTTGCTGTCCTTGGTAGAATGCCATGGCATCATACCTCACAGCAACCTCAAACCTTTGGGCCAAGTCATCCTCTTGTCTCAGCCTCCTGAGTAGCTGGGACTATAGTTGCCCAGCCGTTATTTTTAGAGAGGGGGTCTTTCTCTTGTTCAGGCTGGTCTCAAGCTCTTGAGCCCAAGGGATCCACCTGCTTCAGCCTCCCAGAGTGCTAGGATTACAGCTGTGAGCTACCATGTGTGTGGCCCAGGAGAAATTCTCACTGTGTTTAGCAACAGACGTGAACAATAACATTTGTGGCAGTACTATCAGAATGGACCAAAACTGGAAACCCAACTACCCATCAAAGTAGAATAGATACGTAAACTATGACATATTCATGCTATATACCTCCTAGGAAATTAAATTCCATCTCTATAAAGCTTAAGAAGCAGCTAGACTAATCCATGTAGTTAGAAGCAAGCATAGCGTGTACCTGGGTGGCCAGGAGGGAGGGCAGTGGCGAGGACGGGAACGCAGGGAGCCCTCTGGACATACTGGGAAGGGACATCTTGCTCTGGGTGGTGGTTAAATGGGCCTGTCACACTGTGAAATTTCACCAAGTTACACTAATCTGATTTGTGCATTTTGAGTACATATCTATATTTCAAGAAAGCATTAGGAAGAAAACCATGACTTTAGCTGCTGTGTGGAGAATATATAGGGGGCAGAGGGCAAGACTGAAAAATGCAATCAATGAAGAGGCCATTACAATAATCTAGCCAGCAGAAGACAGTGGGCTGAACTAGGCTTCAGGCCAGGGGAGGGAGAGAAAAAGGTAAAATCAAGACATTATCTCAAGGTGGAGTCTGTGAGGCTGGTAATGATTAGATGTGAGGGAGAGAAAAAAGAGAAGCCAAGGTGCCTGGCTTTGACCTGGCACCCCGGAGAACCTTAGTGCCACTTAAAGAGATGAGTAAGGCCAGGAAAGGAGGTGGTTTGGAGTGATGAAGAGACAGGAGAAATCCGGAGTTCTTTTTTTGGACACAGTTAATTTTTGAGTTGCCAATTAAGATACCAAGTGGAAATGTCAAGTGGGAAGAGAGATACACCCACCTGGAGCCAGGCCCAGGTTTGGACTCTCCAGTGTGGTGGTTAAAAGAACAAACTATAGAATTAGACTCCCTGGGTTCAAACACAGGCTTCTCACTTACTGCTGTGTGCCCTTGGGCAAGTTACTAAGTTCATCTGCAAAATGAGGTATCACAAATATTAAATGAAATAATACTTGTAATTCATGCCTGCCCCATAGCATATACTCAAATGTAGCTATTAAAGAATTCTTTTGTTACTGTTAGCAGCAGACTGGAGAAGGCCTGTAAACTGAGGGCTGGACACGGTGGCTTGAGCCTGTAATCCCAGCACTTTGGGAGGTCGAGGTGGACGGACTGCCTGAGCTCACAGGTTCAAGATCAGCCTGAGCAAGAGTGAGACTCCATCTCTATCAGTAGCTGGGCATTGTGGTGGGCACCTGTAGTCCCAGCTACTGGGGAAGCTGAGGCAAGAGAATTGCTAGAGCCCAAGAGTTAGAGGTTGCTGTGAGCTATGACGCTACAGCACTCTACCTGGGTCAACAAAGTGATACTCTGTCTCAAAAAAAAAAAAAAAAAAGACTGTAAACCGAGTAAGGCTCATTTCGGAAGTACATATAAAGAACACTTAATCTTAATTAAGTGTACTTAATCTTCAGACAAGGAAGAGCAACGGAAGGAGCCATGAAGAAGGAGGGCACGAGGAAACTGTGGTGTCCAGGAAGACCAGGAGAATTCCAGGAAGGTGACAAACCGTGTGAAATGCTCTGCAGAGACTGAGTAGACCAGCCCTTACCTTACCTGCTACATAATTAGCCACGTCCAGTAGAGAAATGTACAGGGGAGGCCCTTGAAGAAAAATGATTCAGAATTTCAAGACAGTAATAGCAGAGTGTTAGCGT